ATGTGACGCATCTATTGTCAAAGCAAGAAGGTCACTCACCTACAAATTACAAAACGTACAGCTGATCTTTGTACTGGATGGAAACTCTCGGATCATTTGAGAAACCTCCAAGGTCCGATTATCGTCTGCATGAAGCAACAGTCGTGTTAATCAAGCCTTGAAACAAAAAAAACACCAGAAAGCACACACACACACACACACACACACACACAGACAGATAACCCAATCTGTATCTCGTCTACGCCATCATCATGGCACCACTGCCGACGACACCAGCACCGCGTACACTCATCGTCCGACGAGGAACATCACCATGGACCGCGTTGATGACGGAGCACGAGCAGCCTATGTCCGCCAGATGTCTCGTCTTTGTCCTCGTGATACTGCTCGTGCTCGCGTTGCTTGTCCACACGGGACGCAGCTGGGACGAGTGCAACGACGGCGGCTCCCCAAGGCGACGCATCTGTCAGCGCTGCCGGGACAGTGCTCGCGCGCAGGCAGCGGAGCTTGGGGATTGTCAGGCGGGAGACGTCGACTTGAGTACGAGGACCATGCGAATGGACTTGGAGGGAGCTACATAATGGCATGGGTTGAATATGCTCAACACGTCCTGGGGGTGGAAGACTTAGGTTTGCCAACGAGGAGAAACAACAACAGAGCATATTCACATGTCTCAATAGTTTGTCACTAGAAACGCTCATTTTTGGTCATTCGCCCGAGCTATATTTCCGGCTCTCCATAGATCTTGAGGGGGGAGGTGCTATTATATCATCTAATTTAAACACATTCAAACCAAAAACACGAGACCCCTATTTGCGTCCATGAAATCATCCGTAACAGACATCTCTCAAATGAGATTTTATGCTCCAACGCCGGTTTCGCAAACCATGATAGTAAAAGACATGGGTGAAGTGTTTTCCAGTGGATAGCAGCAGTGGTTGAAGGGAATATGAGTACAAGAAAAAATACAATGAGAAATACAGATATGCCACTCTCCACGATTCTCTATAATCGCAACGGTTCGCTTTCTTTTGGGTTTGGGGGTTGTTGTTGTAACGAGTCCGAGGATGATGAACCATTTAAGGCTTGTTCTCGTCCTTCTTCTCGCCCTCAGTGGACTGCTGCTGCTCACTAGAAGCCTGCTCGCCAGAGTTGGCCTCGTTGCGGGCCTTGTGCATCTTGTCGAAGAGGTTCAGGCTGGCAACCTGGAGCTGGTCCGTCTTCTCCTTGATATCGGTAGCAGTGGCCTCGCCCTCGCCAGCTTGGCTCTTGGCGATAAACTCACGGAGAGCGGTAATCTTCTCCTTGATACCCTCGGCCTCGGTCTTGTCAAGCTTGTCGGCGTACTCGTTCAGGGCACGCTCAGTATCGTTGAGGACAGAGTCGGCGCGGTTGGCAGCCTCAATGGAGAGCTTGCGCTCCTTGTCGGCCTCAGCGTACTTCTCGGAATCTTCAACCATCTGCGAGATCTCGTTATCAGAGAGACCAGAGCCCGAGGCAATGGTGATGGACTGGTCCTTGTTGGTGGACTTGTCCTTGGCGTGGACGTGGACGATGGAGTCGGCATCAATGTCGAAGGTGACCTCGACCTGGGGAATACCACGGTGGGCAGGGGGGATACCAACGAGCTGGAAATTGCCGAGAAGCTTGTTGTCCTTGACTAGTTCACGCTCGCCCTGGAAGACCTTGATCTCGACCGCAGTCTGGAAATCGGCGGCGGTAGAGAATACCTGAGACTTCTTGGTAGGAATGGTGGTATTGCGGTTGATCAGGCGGGTGAAGACACCACCCAGGGTCTCAATGCCAAGAGAGAGAGGGGTGACATCGAGAAGGAGAAGGTCCTTGACTTCACCGGAAAGAACAGCACCCTGAATGGCGGCACCAATGGCAACCGCCTCATCGGGGTTGACCGACTTGGCAGGGTCACGGCCGAAGATACCCTTGACGGACTCGGCAACCTTGGGCATACGGGTCATGCCACCAACGAGAATCACCTCCTGAATCTCCTTGGCCTGGAGATTGGCGTCCTTGAGAGCCTTGCGAACGGGCTCAATGGTACGGCTGATCAGAGGGTCAACCATCTTCTCGAGCTGAGCACGGCTGAGCTTCATGTTGATGTGCTTAGGGCCAGAAGCGTCGGCAGTGATGAAGGGCAGGTTGATGTCGGTCTGTAGAGAGGAAGAAAGCTCAATCTTAGCCTTTTCGGCAGCCTCACGGATGCGCTGGATAGCCATGCGGTCACCAGAGAGATCGAGGCCAGAGGTCTTCTTGAAGTCGGCAACCATGTGGCGGACCAGGTGAATATCGAAATCCTCACCACCAAGATGGGTGTCACCGTTGGTGGACTTGACCTCAAAGACACCATTCTGGATTTCGAGGATCGAAATATCGAAAGTGCCACCACCAAGATCATAGACAGCGACGATACGGTCAGCTTCCTTCTCGAGACCGTAGGCGAGGGCAGCAGCGGTAGGCTCGTTGACAACACGGAGAACGTTGAGACCGGCAATTTGACCAGCATCCTTGGTGCTCTGACGCTGAGCATCGTTGAAGTAGGCAGGAACAGTTACGACGGCGTTCTTGATGGGCTTGGAGAGGTAAGCCTCAGCAGTCTCCTTCATCTTGTTGAGAACGAAGCCACCAATCTGCGAGGGAGAGTACTTCTGGTCGCGAGCAGAGACCCAGGCGTCGCCGTTGCTGTGCTGGACAATCTTGTAGGGAACCTCCTTGATGTCGCGCTGGACCTCAACATCGGTGAACTTGCGACCGATCAGACGCTTGGTAGCGAAAAGAGTATTCTCGGGGTTGACGACGGCCTGGCGCTTGGCGGCGACACCGACGAGACGCTCACCATCCTCGGCGAAAGCGACAACCGAGGGAGTTGTGCGGGCACCTTATGCAGCAGTCAGCGATGGTACGGTGATAGCTTAGGAAAAACAATTGAAGACCTACCCTCAGAGTTCTCAATGATGCGAGGGACCTTGCCCTCCATGATGGCTACGGCTGAGTTCGTGGTACCCAGATCGATACCAATGACTGAGCCCTGAACCTTCTGTTCACCCTCAGAGGCAGTCGACTCGAAGCGGGCGAATCTGGATGCCAAAGGAGCTCTGAAGGCACCTTGGCGGGCGGCCAAGGGGGTAGCTCGGGGGAGCTGGGAGAAGGTTAGTGATCGCAATTGCACCAGCCAGTTACAAAGAGAAACGTACAGCTCTGTAAAGACGCGAAGCGAGCATCTTGAATATTAATGACGGGTATTAGAAAGAAAAAAGAGGACAGCTCGCGCGACAAACAATGGCGCAAGGGAGGATGATGAGGAAGGATGGCGAGAGATGATGGAAGCAGAATGAAGGGGAAGAGAGGCAAAAATTTCTGGCGCAAGAAAAAGCCACTCCTGGTCCCCGGTCATAGAAGCCGAGAGAAAGAGGCAATGAAGGGGCCGGGTCCACCCGTTACTGGGGCTAGTGACGGCTAAAAGAAGCGGAAAAATGAAACTTCCGAAATTGGCACTGCTGAAGCTATGTTGGCACGTGACTAATCTCCAGGTCGACTCAAGCTCTTGCAAGCCACGACAGAGCTAGTACCAACTTTGACTAGTTCTATTCGTGTTGTTCATACCAACGAAGTCCTCTCAAATATGGACTTGTTTTCCTCAAGCTACCTATTCAAACCAACTCACTCAACATATCCCCAATGCGTTTAGTTTTGGGAAAATGTAATGGTAGAACCGCCATCCGACAAGTATGCGGAGCATGTGGCGGCGGAAGTATTCAGATACCACAGATCTGAACCGGCAGCATTGATGGAGGAGCCGTCCTTCTTCACAGCCGAAACTTCAGAAAAGTCAAAGGCGTCAAAGTTGGGGAGTAACTTTGTTGGGGCCTCTGTAATCCACTCTACATGCTGAAAGCACAGAGGCTGCGACGATTTGACCTTTTGGGTGTCCGAGACGCCTGTGGTCAGATTTTCGAAGAGGCTAGTGATGTATGTTAGTTATGGAAGCTTGAAGACAGTGAAGTAAAATATGGCTTACATCGTTCCCGCGTAGGCGGACGTCGCCGTCACTGTCACTCGAACTTGGTCTCCAACTGAGACTGTGCCGCTATCAGCTCATTTCCTGTTCAGTGCTTCTCATTCATTACTTACGGGGTGGGTAGGCGACATGCAGCGAAGGTGTCTGCGACGGGTTGTAAAACTCGTACCAGAAGTCCGTCGTTAATTTTCCTTGGTAGAACTGAGTTCGCATTAGCAGTCTATTCCCATTCCAAGCGACGTTTGGGGAAGTGTTCTGAGTCACGTACTACTTGAGAGGTGCCACCTTGGAGCAAAACGTTGTTGCAGCTCGACGGAGAGGCTCCGTCAATCCCAACCCATTGGAAGATTTCGTAATCACCTTGCGAGTTAGGGTCCGGCAGAGCAACATTAGGAACGGTCCAAACCGCAGAAACAGTTTGAACGGCAGTTTTCTCAACGAAACCACACCATAGAGCGTTGCTGACAGTAGCACCTGGTGCCCCGGAGGTTACCGAAACATCATCCTTCGAAGAGGCCACAGTACTTCCAGGTCGTGCTTGAACAAGCGTGTACAAAGATAAAGTTGCGAAAACGGAAAGAAGTTTGGCCTGCATCATGAAGTAGGGAGATGATTGTAGCGAAATGCTGGCTGCAGGTCAGACTTGTATGAGACGGATGCTTGGCGACGGAGATATGTCTGCGATTTATCAAAACATCTGCTAGACTTTATACCAATGAGCCGGCTAAGGGTATAGATTTGAGTAAAGCCATCCTGTTAAGTCAGATGTCGGCGAATGCGGCAATTGAGCTAGACGTCAGAAAGATCGACCGGTCAACTTCTTCTCTATCGAAGAATGCTCTTCTACCTGCTATTTCCGGCTAAACCTGTAGATCGTTACGTAAATTGGGCCAAATTGTTAATCCACAGGTGTTCAGTAGTCTCTGCAATTAACCAACTGGTTATGAGACTTGGTTTGCAACGAGCTGCGTAAGTACTGTAACCCGCCGCTTTGGAAGCTTCCTGAGGGGGTCCTCTATGTATCCTGAGGAAATCTGCTGCAGCAAACCTGAGCTCACAGGGTCCCGGCAACAGGTTTCACGTTGACATTTTCATAATTTAGCATCGGATTATACTTTCTTTGGAATGACCGAGGCGCGTTGAATGTAGTGTGTATGACCAACAGATTCAGTGCCCCAAGCCTGTAGATGGCGCAGCATGGCGCAGTCCACAAACGCCAGAATTGTTCTCAGTGGAAAAGAATCGGGCAGCTATCAGCTATGAATAGGCTTGCCGGAAAAAAGGCAACCATTTTCTCGCAACGACATAATGATGCGTGGCTGGGCATGCCGGCATTGATGATTAATATTTCTTGTTGTGCGAGCTGCTGGTGGCCTACAATCACATGCGAGTTCCTGTCATGTTCGTCAATATGTACGCCGTAGCCAGGCCGTAATATAAATCCGCCGTCTCATCCGTTTTTGAAGCCGTCGGACAAGAGCAGCGTGTTCTTTCCGGAGCTTGGACTTGCCTCGACTAGCCAGGCTAGCTGTCTTTGGCAGGCAGCAAACTAAGGTCTGACGATGAAGGAAGGCCGTCAAGGTGTCATCTCGCCACGTACGTATTAGATCCACTAGTAGCTTTGGGACGACGTCGAACTTGATGCTGTGACAACTATTAGGAGTAGATTGCCATGCATACCTGTCTTGAGCTGATACCTTTTAGAGAGTGATAGAGCAAAATTGAACATAAACTCGTTCCTTTCTACAAAACAAAGATCCACAACTCAGCTTGAGTGTCTCTACTATCTCGCTGTGCCGTGTGCCGTACCTTCCGTATTTGCTCCAACCGGTGATGTCCTGTGGTGGCTTGCAGCCATTTTTATAGACGAGTCTCTGAGGCCACGCCACAATTGAAAAGACTAGAAAAAATGAAAAAGAAAACTAGAAAAAATGAAGAGACTAGAAAATAATTATAAAATCTGTTTGCATCTATGCAATATAGTGGACTCAGTTTACAGGGCAAGTAGTCAGTATTAACCCTGCACTCCATACTAACATGCATTAGAAATGGCGAACCTGCCACAGCTGACTGACTGACGCCAGTCGAATCGAGGCGGCGTGGGCGCTACTCGGCAATTTGTATGGCGCAGCATCATTTTTGAATGAATGCATGGTGACTCCAAATGGCTTTGGAGCCGAGTATCCGCACGCAGACGAAGGGACTTTAATGGAATGGTTCCGATTTGCTCTCTTCCTACGACCTGAATACCTGAATGCTGCCCCAAGGCAAAATCGAAGGCCGAAAAATGGCAGTCTTGGGCTGAGAACATACGGGTTGTGGAGGGCATGCTTGAAAGAAATACAAGGTGGAGAGCTAGAAAGCACACATTTGCACAACTCCACGTTATTCATTAGAAGTAACTAATTACTTCAACTCCTATTAACTATAGCCACAGTATCGTGATCATTATGACTTAGCAAGGGCTACAGGATGATGGACCTCAAGACAGGCCAGCACAGACCTGGCAGACGGACTAAAGGACAAAGCAGAGAACGAGCCCGATGCAAGTACTCAAAGCTACCAAAAAGACAAGACCTAATTGCGGTAACTAGTAAATGTCATACACGAGGCCATAAAAGAGGCGCAGAATGTAAGAGGCAGGGGCAGCTGACGACAGAACTCATAGCGGTGTTGACGAAGAAGCGTGCGTGGTTGTACCTACGGACCCGAGGCTCTAACTGCCTTCCTAGTACCGATCTAGCTACATAGGTAGGTAGGTACCTGATAATATTTTCACTGTTAATAATAAAGGCACAACAGATCTGCGACGTGGTCGGGATGACTAATGACAGGCCCCTGCATCCCCAGAAGAAGTGGCCAGTGGGCAGCAATACCGCGACATATATTGGGGCGTGGATGGGGGCCTTGGTTGCTTGGGCGCCTTTTGGAACTGGGTGCAGCGGACTGATAACAAGTCTCCAACTGTATCTAATTGCCTGATCATTAGGAATTGCCTTGGTGGCCCAGCGGCTGCCCTATCGCCGCTCACTTCCGTTAGGTAGCAAGGTACTTGTTAGGGCAGGCATACTTGGTAGCGAGAGAGGTACTTCCAACTGCCTACTGCTAACTACCCACTAGGTACCTACCTACCTACCTAGGTACCTTAGTAGGCTCTCTGCTCTGGGCTGGCAGCCACGCGCCGCCACTCAGACCCAGCCAGGCTTTTACCCAAACCCGGGGGACGTCATTTACTCCCATCGCACGACCTCATCTCGACCCTTGCCTCATCTCCGTCTCTGCATCACCTCCTCCACCTCGTCGAATCAGCGCATCCTCATCTCTCCGACGGCAATTCCGACCTTGACCCGTGATTCTGACCCCTCGTGCAGCGCCTTTGCCTGCTCGTGCTTGTTCTCGCGGCGCTCGTAACGGCCACGGACCCGATACCCCATCTTGGCGGCTCGCAATTTCGACTTTGGCTTTCGCCACCCGGTGGCACAGCACCGCCGCTGGTACATTGCTGCGGTTCACCTCGTCTGCTCACCATGACTGCCAAAGATGATGCAGTGTTGGTCTCCCCATTTCACTTGCTGCCTGAAACGATCGCTAATCAAGCACCCCTCCAGGTACTGCCACACAGACAGCATCGTCTTGAGCAGGCGGCGGAAGCACTATCGCGTGCCTGTTCGCTCACAGTACGTCTTCCCCAGAGTCGCTTCTTCCCCCCCCCCCCCCCCCACGAAAGTATCTAACGATGCAAATTCCAGGCACTGGCAGCTTCGATCGCTCATCTCCGCCGAAAAACGTCACCTTATATATTTTCCCGGCGGCAATGGCAGCAACCATGTTCAGAGACTGAACACCTCAACAAACGAGTGTGAAACAATCAAGCTGCTCACTTTTGCACCTCGATGTTTAGTGGCAGAGAATGGGTGGCTATGCTGTGGAAGTGAGAGTGGTGACTTTGTCGCCATTCGTCTCGACGAAGGCCACGACAGCAGTAGTCCCAACACGCCGCTGAATCTGGACCCTGACGCTCGTTTGTCCTTGAATCTAGATTCTCGTGAGGAATCACTTCTTTCACTAATAACCCAGGCCCGACGATCAAACAAAAGCCTGATTGCGAAAAGCGTCAAGCTAGCAAACGACCGAGTAAACTGCATAACCATGTGGTTTCCCGGCGCTCTCGCTCCTTCCGTCCAAGGAGCCTACACAGAACCCGTTGCTATCCTGGCCAACAATGACTGTACTGTGACAGTCATCAGCCTGCGCGACTTCGACCAGAGCGACAAGACAACCCCGCTCGACATTGTCACCTATCCCGACTTTGTCAACCGGGCAGCTATTTCTCCCAATGGGCGCGTCATGGTTGCTATCCTGGATGACCCTTATCTATACGTTCACGTTCGTGTGGAAAAGTCGCCGGAGTCGGGACGTTTGCCCGAGTATACCTGGGAAATTCGCCAAAGACTGATGCTCAAGAGTCAGAAAAAGGGTGACAAAACAGACAGCCGCGGTAGTTTCGCCGCTTGCTTCTCAAACTCCGGTTCCTACCTTGCTGTTGGTACACAGCATGGCGTCATTTCCATATATGATGCCGAACTACTGTTGGACCCCGAGGCACAACCTCTCATCACAACCTTTGAATCGTCGCGGCCCCGAAGCGGCCCGGGCGCGATTCGCGACATGGCTTTCTGCCCAGGCCCATTCGATATACTGGCTTGGACAGAAGACCGCGGGCATATTGGTATTGCTGATGTGCGTGCAAAATTTGTCGTGCGTCAAATTGTCGACATCAGTGTGGATGCCGATTTTGAGCATGTGAGCATCTTTGATCGCAACACTATCGACCCTAGGCTACTGGATGGCCAGAATGCTTCAAGGCGAGACGGCAGTCAACCGACTCGCGGTGGTCTGCCAGCTGCTAGACGTGAAGGAGATGGCCGGATCGACACTCTGAATCAACCTCTCACGCCGACTGAGACAATGGTGCTAGAAGCCATTCAAGGGGATCGTCGCCGACGAGACAGGATAACACAACGGACTGATGGAGGAGACATCACCATGACCGACTCTTCTTGGTCGTATTTGGCAAGCTTACGATTACCGAGCACCGAGAATGATTCGTCGCGGCCCCGCCAACGCAGTAGTAGTGTCACTCGGGGAGGTTCTGAATCACTGAACTCTTATCGAGACCAGAGAGAACGGGAGAGGCTCACTGATCGAGTCAGAAACATTCGGCAGCTTGCGAGAGATCCAAGCGACAGACTTCCTGGACGGCGGGATCAGAGATGGATTGATAGGGTGAGTGAAACTGCGGCTGCCATGCGTGAGCGTGACGCAGAACGCCCTGATGCGTCGTATCTCAATGTCCTGGATATTCTGCAGGCAAGAGAGAGAAGTACTGGAACTTCTACAGGAAATGCGACATCAAACGCAACAGGGGGGTCTGTGACAGCAACCGCAACAGCCACAGGAACCGGAACCGGATCTGGATCACGCCCTGCGACTACAGCTGCCAGCACTCTCACCAGCGATGCAGAGCGTGAAGACTCTTCTCTATTGGTGCCCATGGTTAACCAAGTCGTTAACCGATGGGAGGAAAGCGCTATCCGAGGGACTCTCGCAACGGAGCATGCAGGCCTATTCGAAGTGCCCCCTTCACCGGACAACACGGCTGGACTTGCCTGGAGCGATGATGGCCGGACCCTGTAAGAAATGTCGCTTGATATCACAAAACTACTTGCTAACTATGTGCTAGATTCGTTGGAGCCCAAAATGGCATTTACGAATTTCACATCAACACTCAAAGCCGACTCTTCTATCCGAGCATGCAGATGCTCTAAACATATACCTCGCCTTCTACCTTGGTTATTGTCTATCACTGTTGTTGTTCAATATCCTCTCCTTCATAACATTAGCATGCGCTCTTTACGCGGACACGGAGTTGATTTTTTTATTACTTTTCGGACGCCTCGGGCTCTCATTCTCAGGCACGACAATGAGTTATCTCTGCAGTGGCGTATCATGAATATGGACAAGGCCATTTCGCCAGTGACTTTCTAGCAGTCATGAAGGAAAGGGAGTTGGGTCTGTCGCGTTTGATACTCGGCAAAGGAAGTTGTAGGCATGCGGGTTTGCGGGTATATGTGTGTGTGTCGAACTTGGCCATGTTCTTTGTCTTTGGCAATGGATACTGTCTTTGGATAAGATGTGAAGTGGCTGCTGCATTCGCGAGTCGGTAGTCGTAGGCCCTGGCGCAGGTAGAATACCCACGAGCTTGTCGTCGATAATATATTACAGACCCTTCTATGCAACGTGATGTATATACAAGCCCGCGCCAGCTGCAGACCTCCGCATCTGCCCGGGCCAAAACGATACTCAAAAACAGAAAAAAGTAAGTTATCCCTCACGCACGCTGCCGTACAGCATCTCCTCGACCCTCTCCGCAATGGCGAGCGCACTCGTCAGCCCAGGGCTCTCGATGCCCAGCAGGTTGACCCAGCCGCGGAAGCCGTCCTCCTCGCGCACCACAAAGTCGACAAGGCCACCAGCATGGTCCCGGCCGGCCAGCTTGGGCCGTATGCCGGCATAGTCGGGCACGAGGGCGCTGGCATCAACGCCCGGCAGGTACGTCTGGATGGCGGCGACGGCCTCGCGCAGGCGGGCGGCGCCGTCGGGGGTCGCGGTGTCGAGCGCGGCCAGGTCATCCGGGCCGCTCACCCACTCGACGTCGGGCCCGAAGCGCATGCGGCCGCCGAGGTCGAGCGTCAGGTGGGTGCCGAGGCCGCCGAGGCCGGGCTCGGGCACGGGGTAGATGAGCCGCGAGACGGCGGGCCGGGCGGCCGCGTACGAAAAGTAGTTGCCCTTGGCGTAGTGCAGCGTCACCTGCCGGTCGGGCCCGGCAATCATGTTGTGGATGCGCGCGGCGCCGAGGCCAGCGGCGTTGACAATGGTGTCGGCGGTGATGGTGGACGTCTCGCCCGTCGCGCCGTCGCGCACGTCGACGGCCCAGCCGGCGCTCTCTGGACGCACGCCGACGACGGGCGAGTGCAGCGCGACGATGCCGCCCTCGTCCTCGAACAGGCCGGCCAGACACGTCATGAGGCCGTGCGAGTCGACGATGCCCGTCGTGGGGCTCTCGAGGGCGCCGGCGGCGGCCACGACGCCCTCGCCGTCGCGCGCGACCTCGGCGGCCGACACCCAGCGGGTCGGCACGCCGAGCGCGTCGCGGCAGACGGCGTGGAAGCGCTCGAGGGCGGCGCGCTGGGCGGACGTCTGCGCGACGATCCACTTGCCGGTGCGGCGGTGGTCGAGGCCGTGCCGCGCGCAGAGCTCGTACAGCAGGTGCTTGCCGCGCACGCACAGCCGCGCCTTGAGGCTGTCGGCGCCGTAGTAGATGCCGGCGTGGACGACCTCGCTGTTGCGCGAGCTCGTCTCGGTGCCGAGCGCCGCGTGCCGCTCAATTAGCACCGTCGAGCCGCCGGCGCGCCGCGCGAGCTGCCGCGCGACGGCGATGCCGACGACGCCGCCGCCGATGACCTGCGTAGACGGAGATTAGAAATCACAATTCCAAAACAAAAGCAAGAGTTTCAGCGGCGGTTTCTGGTAGATGAAAGTTTCAGAGATGATGGGCTCAGCATCGCCTCATCTGCGACAAGATGGGCTCCTCAAGCACCCCAACAAGAGGACTGAGATTTGTCATTGGAAAACAGGCCATGTTGGATTTCGAATTGTGTTTCTTTTGACAACTCGAGGCTGCGTATACGAGGTCCTTGTCAAGAATCGAAGCACACGGCTTCTGAAACGTTGAGATGCGGGTGAAATGCAGCCGTTCAGGGTCCCCCCGCCACGTGTGAAAGGAACCGGAGGGGGTGGGCGTTCATGTTTCAACAGCGGCACGCCCCGGGCCAGCGGTCGAAACGGTTCAGATTTTACTTATCCCCCAAGGCCAACATATGACGGGGCGAGCATCGTTTGATATGCAGGTACCAGGGAATGGGGGTGGTATATAGGTTTCAAAAAAAAAAAAACACACATGGGATGACAGGAACGCTTACTGCATGTGTGAAATCAGCGCGGGCCGCAGCCGTCGCACTAAAGTAGGCTCTGGCCGCCGCAGAGCATGAATTGGTGGGTGCCAGCGATGCCAGCGGCGCCGTCGCTCGCCTGGCCAGCATGGTTGCGGGTGATTGCGCTGGCCTTGTTGCGGTGAATAAGAGAACAAGGCTGGGTGATGATGGTTGTGTAAGTGGAAGGTTTGGATCCTGGCCGGCGGCGGGTGAGCGGACTTACCTTCCACAGACTGGTGGGGATGGATGGATACGAGCTTGACACGCAGCAATGACGGGAAAATGGTTGCACTGTCGAAAAAGGAGGATAAAATAGTCGAGATATACATGGTCCTAAAGATGCGCGCTGTTTGTTTTAAGAGAACGAGCACTGCCGGTGGGTGGATAGAAGCCGATGTCGCTGCGCCGGGCCAAGTCGGACCTAGTCCGTGAGAACGGCCGGAACACCGATGGCATGATCCATACGCCCGGCTTTGGAATGGGGCATTGCACTTGGAAAATAACTAGCAATGCATTACATTGCGCGCGAAAATAACCCTGTCAAACACACACACACACACACACTTGATATCTAGCAAAGCCATTCAACACGACGAGCAAACTGTTCCGTCGTGCCATCCTATCTATCGTACATTGGTCGTTACTTGCCCCACCTCCAAAACAAAATCATGCAATGGCAAGGATCAATTCATTCTCATTTTCCAGCCGTTCATTACTCCAAGAGTAAACGCAATCCGACATCGAGCCTATGCCTCGGCTTCGGCTGCGGCATCAGCCGCCGTCGAACTTGAGCGGCCCAGGCTTGACGGAGTGGGCGGCTCATTCGATCCCTGGCTGGCCGAAAGCTCGCTGAGCTGCTTTTCTGTACCAACATTAGCATCCACAAGCCAAAAGAGAAAAAAAAATTGTTCGGCCCGCCTTACGTAGTTCGTGTATGCGATGCTTCAGCATCTGGTTTTCTCGCGTGAGCATCTGCGCCTCGGCTTGGTAAAAGGCGCTCTCATCGCGCCCGCCCAGGGCCCAGTCGCCACTCTCGACACTAATCGACGTGGATCGAAGCCGTGGCGAGGCCCCGCGGCTCGGCGTCCTAGACCGGCGATGGAGGTCGGCGCGGGCCATGTCCAGGGACGGCCGGTGATGGAACACGGGCGAGCGAGGGTACGACCCAGCCAGCGGTGGGGTTGGCACAGGGCCCTGCGAAGCGAGCGGCCCGGCGCGGTCTGACACGGCGCTGCTGTCTTCCGCCGACGCGCCGTGGCCAGCACCGCCGCCGGAGTTGCTGGCTTGGAGGCGCTGAAGCTCGAGCTGCTGCTGGCGAATCATCTGCAGCAGCCGGTTCTGACAAGCGATTGGGTTAGCAAAGAAGAAGGCGCACGTGGATGGGGAGAAGAAAAGAGAGGGTTCCAGCGTACGACATGAGCCTCTTGCTCGGCCTCGAGCTCTTGGTGCAGCTCGCCGAGACTGGGGGCCCGGTGGTGCTGCGGCGGATGCATAGCATGCTCGGCGACCATCTCACCGGGGCCGGGGACGGCTGGATCGTTGAGCTGCAGGTTCATCAAGACGTTGGACCGACGCCTGCCCGCATTGGACGACGACCGGTGGCCGCGCGCGAGGGAGCCCGTCGACGAGCCTTCTGGTGCTTCAGTCAGTGTTAGCGCGCGCAAGTTTCTCAAACAGGTCGACGGGCGGTCGACGACGGGGGGCGTTCTTCGCTTACGTGGAGAGAGCTCTCTGTGGAGGCCGGCATTGACTGTCGCGGCAGCCTGCAGGGAGGTGGTGGAAGGCCCGTGAGGGGAGCCGGTCGGGGAGCCTGGCCGCGGGAGAGCTGGCGTGTCCGTGATGGAAGCCATTGCCGGAAGAAGAGAAATGCCAATTTCGAAAAGGCGTGGCGTGATGCTGATCGGGTGGTTCGATGGAGGGGGAAGAAGGCAAGGCCTCTTGGTTCGTTTGCTAACCTTGTTACCCAGGTATCCAGGTATCAGGTGGCGGGGTTGCTTTTGTACTGGGCTGCCCGTCGGACGCAGGTTGTCAAAGGCTGCGATGAGGGGAGGCGAATCGTCAAATCGAAATCAAAGGAAACTAGGACGGGCGAGTGCTTCCATGACGTGGAAGGTGATGATGAGTTGCGCGTCTACAGATAAATCAGCGTGTTGTCGGGTCAAGGTCACCAGATCCGACGTCAATGGCGGGGCCACCAGTGTGAGACCACTGTGGCGACGCTTCTCGGGAGGCTGGAGCTAACTAACTGCGGTAGGGACCCTAGTTAAACTGCCACCAGCGAGGCGGGATGACGTCCAGGCAGTAATATCCGTAATATACTTGTATCGTCCTTTTTCTAAGTTTTTATTAGTTCTTATTGTCTTTCTTCTGTCCCCTCCAGGCCTTTGCAATAGAGACCCTTATTAATACTAGAGTGCGTAGACTATCTGTCCGGCCAGGTTTTCTGTTACTGCATGACAGGTAGGGTAGGTAGGTAGACTCGGCTTCTCCACCAACAACCTCATGACGCGAGGATTTTATAAATTTGATGGATTCTTTTGCCTCTGATAAAAAGACGCAACTGGTCATGTTAAAGCAAGCTTTAACCCCCCGCATGTAAGATGACTCACAAAGCGTCACCTGTCCCCACGCAGCCCCCGAGTTCAAGTGCCTTGCAACAATTGACTTCAGGTCAGTCATTGGAGAAGAGTGTACACAAACTTGAACGCAAACGGCCAATTTAAAATGACCATGCAGAATATATTATATTCGGGAATAATGGCCTGGTCGCAAGCGCCTTGTTCCCAGCCATCAAACCAAGATAGTGTTTGTCTGAACTTTGCTACCCCGGCATACATACCACAACCAATTCGATCCCCTGTACGTGCATACAACCCAAAACAACTTACACATGCAGCTCTTATGATGGCAACTTCAGCAATGACCATGACAATCTGCATCGTGACTACCCCAACAGCTGATACGCGAAAAACAAGTACCCCGGAAACAGTTTACCAGCCATGGTACGTACATCAGTCGACGACAAAGCAGTAGCCGTTACCGCCCTGCTTACTCTTTTCATCCTGCAAGGTCAGCAGGCAATAATGCGACCCGTGGTTAAAATGGCCAACTCGGTCGAGGCCTCTGAGACAGGGCAACCCAGCAGCCAGGCTGAAGCAGGCACCGAACCTTCAACTTCTACCCAGGCCATGCTTGGCAATCAAGCTTCCCATACACGATATTCAGTATCCCACTCTAGTTACTCAGGGAGGAGTTTTTCCACAGAACTCCAGTCAAGACGCATGGCAGGTCTGGGTCTCTAGTTCGGGATACTTGCCTTTCTCTACAGAGGACTTGAGCCGGCGGGACACTACATATGTCACCATGACGAGGCCTTTGATGGACATGGCGTGTAGTGCTTTATCCCCATCAAAAAGAAGATAGACTCGCCACTGGTAGAGACGGAAGCAGCCCCAACACACACCGCAAGTACTAGCCAGTTGCCAGGGCTGCCGTGATACCCTGAGGTTCTCTGTTTTGAAACGTCCCACAGGCCCGTCAACAAGCTTCCCTTGCAATTTGATTGAGTAAACTTCCCGCGTTTGACTCCAGATCCGTCCGATTTCGAGTTCATATGTACAGGGTACCAGGAGTTCGGAACAAACTGCCAAGTGATCCCGTCCGACAACCATCACGACCCAGCGCAACATGCTCTTTCCTGGTCCATGAATATTGAGGCTCCGCGAAGCCCCAGAAAAACCAATGGAAGCTGTGCTGGCGAGCGCCAGAATACTATCCATGGAAGCAGGCCACGTTGGTATCCTATTGACCTGCTTTCTCTTCATCCTGCTTTGTTCACTGACCCAAGTTCCGCTCCAGCAAGCTACACGTGGTAACAAAACAAAGAAAAGCAGAACCAGAGTCATAGCAAAGGCATGTTTCCCCCGCACACGTTATGGAGTAATACACACCGGCAGTTGAAGAGATATTTTCGCTAGCGCATTGCGTTGATGCCCATAGCATTCATGCTATGGGGGGGTGCATTTTTGAGCCCTTTTGGACTTGCCCGTGCCGAGGATGCGGAGCCAAAAAAAGCAGGCTTGGGTGATCGACGCGTTTCTTTGTCCGGCGCCCGAAGAAAAACGGTTCGTGGCTTTGTCCCGTCGAGCTGTTGTTGAAACGGAAGGAAAGTCGAAGAAGAAGAAGAGAGGACAAGAATAGCAGATGATCAGTGCGCTTGTCGTCATGACGCGACTTTTTTTTCTGATTACAAGGATGCCCGTCAGTCGTTTATCGGACGCGGGCGTGTTTGCGCCCTGCCCGATTTCGATACAGTACCGAGCGACATGGCGAGCTCATTCCGTAACTAGATGCTAGGCGATAAGCGTGCACAATCCTGAGACCAGATCAACATGAGACAAAGGGGGACAACTCTAATTGGGCAGGGTATTATTTTTAGCAGAGGACTTGGGCATCTCAAGACAAGATACACAACACCAGCTAGTCATATCAACAGGAATGGCCATGTGGCAGCGGTACTCTGTACACGGGACGTTTCTGGCGCAAGTAATGAGGAAGGGGTTGCTCAGCATCTTGAAGCCCCTCGCATTGATTACATGGAAGCGCAGCCTGCGACGAGCTCGTGCATATATTATGCTATGACTTCCCTAGTTACCCGAGCCCGTCTTCCCTCCACACAGAATGTCCTCCTATCCAGCTTGTCAAGGCAAAGGGCCTCAGAGCACGGTGTAAGTGCAGTTCCCTGGCTGGGCTTTGCGAATGGAAACAGGGTCCGAGCTATTCGCGACAGGCGTCAACCTTGTTGACAGCGGGGCTTCTCTTCTCTCCCAAGTATTACTGGTAGTTAATTCACGAGCAAACATTCAGACCGCAGCACATGGGACTGTTCGGTCTTTGTGAGTTATCGGATGCGGGATGAGATGAAACCCAAGTGGACGTGGCCAAGGACAGCCCTGTGCCACAGTGACGGATGCGATGATTGGGCGAGGGGAAGTTGCCTTCCAGCCTGAGAAATATTACTTGCAACCCGATGTACGGAGTATTACTTGAAAAGAAAGACTTCATCGGAAAAGCCTCCGGCTGCAATAGTGGTCGAAGCAAGAGAACAGGCCGATGCATACGCCATATTCGTACAAATGGGTTTATTTACACCAACTAGCACGTCTTCTTGCTCTAATTTGGTATCGACGCGAGAAAAGCGAATATGGCGCGTCTCTGCATTATTCTTTCTGGAGTAATGTTGAGCCAGCCAGTGCATCTGCCGTCAGGTTGCTTGTTGGAAGAGTCTGGGCGCACGGACATACTTTATTTCCACTTGGCGAGGCTGGACGGGAGCCCGGTCAGGAGGCTGGATTTTGTATGTATGGACGGGGTACAAATTAGTAACATTGTCATAGACATTAGGTCAGAACATATTCGCGACTGGGGGAGGAGGGAGCGGTGAGCGTGTTAGTCTGTCGAGAACTCGAAATACAAGACAGGTGAAGTTGGCGATGCCTGCAGCACAGCGCAAACGATTGGGGGCATGAATCAGGTGAACCGATATTGTCCGTGGACAAGGCGGAAAAAAGTGTTTCACCATCAGTTGGCAGGTCGAGATGGTCGGGGGCGTACACCTCTAGCTTTTGCAGTGTCGAGGACAAAGGTGAGCTTGTTGCAACTCTGAAACACGTCTCTGGCCGGGCGAGCCTCCTGGACCGCAGTGACAACGTGTTCCAGCTTCTAACCCCTGTGCAGTAGGGGCGACCTGAGCGTAAGCCGCTGCAACGGTGATCATTCATCAAGTACAAGTACTCTGTATGTAGCAGAGTGTAAGTTGCGGAGTGCATCCCGAACTGTTGCCCGATGGCTATGTACTTGGCGAGCTTGCGGGTTCCGAGTTTTCCGTATTGTCAATGATACAGTCACCTAACGTTAACTCGCAAGCAAGCAAGCAAGGATGGTATTGCTAGAGCGCAATGGCGGTCCCACCCAGTTAACCAACGTGTCGGTACAAGGAACGATTGAAACAAAGAGACAGGATTTTTAGTAATACTTTGAGTTCTTGTGAAAGGCTACGCGAACCGAAATCGAGCTGAACTTGCGGCAGGCGAGATTTGTCGGAGCCCGGCATACTGGTAGCCTTGAGTGGGCACCATCTGGATAACAAGCTTTTTTGGTGTCTCTCATTTTTGTTGCGAGAGCTGGCGCAGTGGTTGGTTGACTCGTACACATTAGGATCCCGAATTTGTGGCTGTTAGTACTGAGTTGAGTAGGACCAACGCAAGCGCGGAAAGGCAACGTTGTAGTGTTTTTGGCTAGAACAAGCCTCATTTGGGGCAAACCTCATGACATCAAAGACGCTGCTGAGTACATAGTATCATCGAGTAAGCCCCAGGACGAGCGAGCTGGGAAAGCTCAAAGGACGCGAGTCCAGAGGTGTAAGTGAGGGCGGAGCAGCACAGACTGTGGATTTTCGAGTCATGTTTTCAAGATTTGGAGAGTTTGGGTGACGACAGAGTAGCGAGTCAAGAGTATTCCTATATATCATTTTAAGGATATTAGTACATCCGTAGGGAGAGGGAGAAAGCCAGAGGTACATGGTAGACACGGCGCCGTATGACGTATGCCGGTCTGATACGAATCATGTCGTTGCTCCAAGCTGCAAGGTTGTGAAGACGCTGCAGAGGCTCGGAAGTAGGCGAGGGTGGTTGGGCGGTATGCATCGGATTGGGGCTGATGCCCTTTTTTCTTTCCATGTAATTCGAGAGACTGTATCCGTACCGTCTGTATCCGTACAAGTTACTTAATACGCGTTGCATCCAGCCAAGACGGAGGGGTTGAGGGGCAAGTGAAAAATGAAAATTGCTCTCGAAGAGTTGGTTAGCGCATGTGATGAGTGCCATGGAGTGGCATTGGAGTGGAGCCGGACGCCGCCTCCGGAAGAACGCCCCGGAGTACTGTAGACTGGAGCAGGCCGCGAACGCGCTGGGGGGGGGTGTGCGCTTGGATCCCTGTTGATTTGGTAGGCGTACAATGGTAGTTACTAGGAAGTCAAAATGCTGAAAAGTGTGCCAGTTGTGAGAGGCGAGGAAGAAGGACAACGAGGCGCGTTGAAATGAAGGAGGGCAGCCAGGATTGCAAGGAGGGGAAGAGGAGGCGGGCACTAAGGCAGGTACGGTAGGCTATGCAAGCACAAAGTGTGCTTGAGCACATCTCACATTTCACATTTGGCACCGAGTTGAGGCACAGCACAGGCACAGACAGGCACAGTACATGATGATGCATGTCAATTCATACATACAATACGGATATGTGCTCCGTATGTACTCCGTACAACAGTGCGGGACATGTAGAGCAAAAGTCGTGTTATCCTAACTAATTTGTACTTCGTAATCTGTACGAATGAAGTCGTTCAGTAATCCCTACCTGTGCACTGACTGATGATGCACCGATGCACTGATGCACTACACTGAGTAACTTTATGCATGCGCCAACCAGGTAGTATGCACTCCTTATGCAGCTTCATGTTTGGCTTTGCGACGCGCACAGCTTCGAGAGTGAAAAACGCAGGCGGTGCGTGGGTACGAATTACACAATGGTAATTGATACTCCGTACAAATTACTGACCGCCTTATTGCCAGTATCACCGGTATTATAATTTCGTACTCAGGTATGTTGTCATGTTCCTGGTGATACCAACCTGCTGGGCCCTGGTGGTATCGGCCTGTCCCCTGCCATCAGCCGCTGTGACAGCCTGCATGTTCCTGGAGACCCCTGTAACGAGTGCGCATGGGCTAATATCACAATATCACCGTTACTGCCCGACAACCTGTACGATACTTGGCACTAATATGGCCGTACTGGTAAATTCAAGGCAGCCCATTTTCAATTCATCTCATCCCATTGCGGTGGTCAATATCACCGACGCGGCCTTTTGCTTTTTGCGCCATTTCGTAAATTGCTCATTTTCCTTTCTTTTCTGGCGTCGATCGTGGTGCGAGGACACCGTGGTCGCATGTACAGCCCTGTTTTGCCATCATCCAGGAGGAGAATAAAAAGAAAAGTCGGCCGACGTCAAACCCTGGCTACAACTACCGGTTTGGTAGTTACAAAGTTACAAATTTTGCTGCGCAATGGTGGCATCTTGGCCGAGGATCCTCCCTCCCTCGGCGCCGGCGTCGATCCGCCTTTTCGCACTTTCAGGTACCAGATGGGGGCTACAGGTACCAAATACAGGGCACAGTCGCCTAAAGTCGGCTCTTTGCAGCGCCCCAAACAGCCAAAATACCCGTTTTCTAGGGGCTGAGGCGGAGAAGACCAGGGCTGTGTCTACCCACTCCACAGTCCAAAAAAAAATAAATCAAAAAATCACACCAAAATGCACCAAATGCCTGGTCGAGGCTGGGGCAGAACCACAACACCACACCACACATCACCATCCACCATCCTCCACCACCACCAACGGCCTCGTCCGCTCCCATCCATCATGCCACACACCACCCACACACCCGTCCGTCAGGTTCCATCCATGCCATTCTATCCACACCGATCCACCCTCCAAACTTTGAATTCGCGATTTGCCCACATCCTCGCACGCCCCTTCCTCCGCCCCATCGTCCACTAGCCCAACGAACCCTTGTCCTGGTCGCCCTGCCTGCAGTCGGCCTGTTAGTTCAACTAGTCCGTCTGTCTCTGTTACGCGTTGTCGCAAACTAGTTATCAGTGCTGATACTCTTGCTCCGTCGACGTCGTCGTCGCCCGTCGCTTTCCCCCATTGTCCTCGACGAATCTCGCCGAATCTTATTTACACCCTGCTGCCTCCAGCTATCCCTGGTATCCTCAGCCCTCTGCTTCTCCTTTGTCGTCCATCACCACGTTTGTCGCCAGCTTGCTCACCGACTTGGGCACATGCAATCGCTCTTCCTATCGTCTTGTCATCCTCCTACTCCCCCACGACCACGACGGCGACCCTCGGCAGCCTCGTAGCCTTCCGCTACTAGTAGTGCTTCGTCACACCAAGTACACTTGCTTCGCATCATCCTTTGCTTCCAAACGGCGCTGCTCCCCTCTGCCAATCATCGCCTGCTCGACTGATGAATTCTCCGCCGCCTGCCTGCATGACCGCTCCAAATTGTCCCATTGTTTTGCCGTCATTACCTCGCCCCCTCGCCTATATTTGAGTCACTGTCTTAGAACCTTGACCCATCACCCTCCACTCGCTCAAGACCTGGTCTTTGCTTTTACCTGCCCTGCTATGGTCGCAACGGTCAACAGCCGAACCCGCCTTGCTCATTGTTGTGCTTGCACTGCCGTTGCTGCATCCATCGCCGGCAGTTTTGCTCTTTTACCCAAACGTCGCACCTCCCATTGATCTAGAAATCTTCACTCAACACACCACAGCCTCCTGCCATGCCCCCCGAAGAGGCTCCAGCCGGCAGCGAAAGCCGTACTTCTTCGCATTATCTCTCTCTGAGATCCCGCCGCTCCAATCGATACCTGGCTGATGCAACCAAACAATCAGCCCACCACGACGAGCCTCCGCTTCCACTGCAGCAATATGCGCCCCAACACCTGCTGCTGCAGCTGCCGCAGCAGACCCTCACGCCCAAATCCTCGAAGCGAAGTCTTCGATCTATCTTTAGCCGCTCAAAACTCACAAAGGACAAGGCCGAGCAGCCAACGACTGCCCAGCCTTTACGCCAGTCGGACTTGAGCATCGTAGAAACTGCTACGCCCGACAATCGCACTGCTTCCAATGTACATATTCCTCTTGCCACAGAGCCACAGAACTCGCCTTCCTCTGCCAAAAGGGCCTCGTCCGTGCCGAGATCCCGGTCTATTCGTCGCCAAAGCCATGCGCTACCTCCTGTAATGCCTACCCGCAAGGCCTCTGTCCAGGACAACACATCTCGCGACTCGCTTGCAGCTTGGGAAATGCCACCGCTTTTCAAGGCATTCCCGCAGACCATTCGTCAAGCCACCCTACCTACCGTCACTATGTCTACAGAAATGGTTTTGCGACTTCACGAAAAGAATGTATCGGCCGCAGTGGCAGCTGAGCAGCTAACAATAGAGGAGCGCACCTCCAGAGAAAAGACCAAGAAGAAGCATGGCAAGAACCCGTCTTTGTCAAACTTGCACTGGACCTCCAAAATATACCTTTTGACTACTTCGGGGCACCTGTTGCAGTATGCCGGTGCTGGCAACTATGACCGCCTGCCAGAAAAGGTCCTGAAGCTGAGCCAAACGTCTGCTGCATTTGTTACAGACTCGATTCCGGGAAAACATTGGGTTCTTCAGGTCTCATCCGAACCTGACGCCGTGATCCCTGCGAATGAATCAAAGTCGATCCTCTCTAAACTATCAATTCTCGGCGGTGACAAGCGCGCAACCGCCAATATCTTGATGGTGTTTGAAAGCCCTGATGATTTGGACAGCTGGATGGCTACCCTGCGCGGTGAAATCGAGAAACTCGGCGGCAGGCGCAAACTCTCCGAAACTGGCGTACCTGAACCACCGGCAGCCCGAAGACCGGCCCCCAGAACCATGGTCGTGCGAGACTCGATGCGCTTCTCTAGGAGTCCCAGCCGCCACCAAGAAAGCAGCGGCGACGACGACTTGACACTCAAAGTGAGCGACTTCCAGCACAGCAGAGACCAGAGCTTGGACGAAATATCGACCACCAACAGCATTGTATCCCAGGATGGTCAGCAACTTGATAACTTGCGAGACAGCAATGGGAACCGCCTTTCCTTTGCCTCTGCCGATAGGAGAACTGCAGTTACCTCAGCTGCCTCGACTCCAGAGCGCTCTCCTATTGTCGACACTTTTCCTCGCGACTCGTCCGAAACCTGTGACTCACGCGAGTATACCCATGGCTCAAAGAAGGGTGATGTTAAGCCTCGACCCAATGCCTCTGTCATTGCTAGCCGACGCTCTACCATGCAAAACGCCGGTCTGTTTATTGACGTGAGCTCTGAAAAGCGCAATTCTCAATCCGAGGAGGACCCTTTCTCATACAAGTCAAGCGAGGGCCCCGAGTCTCCTACGAGCCTTGTTGCCCCCAACTTCAGCGTACCGCAGTCGTCAAACCGACGATTCTCTCATATGCGCATGAACTCGACCACTTCGCAGTCACCCCCTTCACCAAACACCGCCACGTTTGCATCGCGTCTGATTCGATCCAAACCACCTCCTGTGCTACGGTCGTCGCGGCCTCTGTCCATGGTTACTGACCACAAATCGCCCAGAGCTGAGCTGCCTGCCAGGCCACCCACTGCTGACGGGACTAGCCATCACAGACTGTCTCCTGTCAAGGAGCAGGTCAGAGAGCAACGGCAGCGTTGCTCGAGGCGACATAGCCCGCGCAGCTCTGCAGACGCTAAATCGGATATATCATCTCCACGCTCTAGCTTGGCCATGAGCGATCGAGTTACATCCCCCTTACCCGGCTATCGAATTAGTCCCCGACGAAGCCGACCTCCCGTTGCGAGCTTGCGCAAGAGCAGCCCTGAATCTGATATGCACGCCATGCGCACCTCTAAGCGCCTTCCTTCCACACCTCATGAATTGGCGAATGCGCCAGTTTTTGCTTGGACAAGGGACATGTCTCGCCGGCAATCTACAGCAGGATCATTCCCTTGCGAGCCGCTTGCGCTACAGAAAGAGATGAGACGAGCGAGCATCAACACAGGCTTTACACCGCTTGGACACCGTCGCCACTCTTCAGATGAGATGCGACCGGTGTCGGTTCTGCCGCCTATGCCGCCGCCACCGTCTGGTCCGCTGCCTGCCCTGCCAGATTGTGCGTCTAGCTCCAAGTCAGAGAAAGACAAAGCTCTACTGAACCGCCGAAGCATGCCACAGATCATGCCTCCTCCAATTCCGCCACCGGAGCGAGAACTCCCCCCCCTTCCCCCCATTGCATCCCTGCGGGTGTGATTGACACTACCACACTACTACTAGACCTTGACCGCCACCGGACTCGAAATCTTCGTTTCAAGAAGTTGCTGTCTTTCTATCATGTCATTATTATACGAAACCTCGAAGGGATTTTATGCTGGTGCCGGCACCAGGCAACTTGGAAAACGAGCTAGAAGACCAACGGGGCCGTTTCCTGTTGCAACCACGATCATTGATGAAGAGAACCCTATTTTCCTTGCTGTGTCTAGCCTGGATGGCATGAAACGCACACCTTTTCCCCCCATGTAATGATGCATTATTTTCGGTATGCATCGGGATCAGTTGAATGACATATTATGAACTGTTTATATGATTTGTTCGTTTTGAGTATTGTTGCATGATTTTGGAAATGCGCTTCAAGCGCGATGTTGTATGAGGAGAACAGAAAGTTGAAGATGGATGACAGTGGACGATTAGCAGAGTGTCAATAAACTCGCCAAGGTGTGCCTTGATTTCAAACCAAAGTATCGCTCCAAAGAAGTGACATTGCAAAGACGGCCGCGGCCAGTCCTGCTGTCGAGGTCCCATGATGGAGCGGCTAACGATGTCACATGTTACTAGGAACAACTTGGGCGAGAAGCAGAAAACGACGGCTGAGGAAGGGAAAGAAAATAGAGGAGCGCCGAGACTTTCTAGACTCGGCCCTCCCGCTCGCGGCCGGTTCTTTGGCGGAGCTAGACATGCGGGCTCCCAGCGACTTGCCTCTTTCGGAGGCTGGCGATGGTGGGTGTCCGAGTTGACGGGGAATAAGCCTCATGCATGGTCGACTGCAACCTATACCGATGAGGCAACAAGCTGTGCCGCTCATTATCGCACATTTTTGAATGACAAATACAGGAACTTATGTTCTACCGAGATGAAGGTTACAGCGGCATGGGTATAACTATTCCTGCCTCCCCGCACTGCCTGGGCCGGTATCACTCCTTCCGCTGCTGCCGCGCAAGCAACGACTTCTATTCCGCGACAAGGCCCCGATTCTATGCTTACCCCTCCACATTTTCTTTTTTGGAAAACGTCATCACTTACTTGGCTTAGTAACAATGCTGCTCCAACCCATTTTTAACCTCGTCCTTGGCGCTCTCACTCTCCGGGCGGCGGACGTGGCCTGCCCCGGACCAGCGCCGAAATCGAATCCGCGTACAGCCAACGGGGTCGCCTGGAAGGTGCTCACAAATAATATCAGACGACCGAGGGGTCTTGTGCAAGATTCTCTCGGCAACATCCTCGTGGTCGAGGGCAAGGGTGTCCGACGCCTCGAGTTGAACGACGCCGAGGGCATGGATCTTTGCATCAAGAACAGCACCCAGCTTATAGTTGAAGAGACGGTATGCTACGCAAGGGGATAAGACACACTCAATTAGTCTATCGTTACTCGTCCTGCTATACGACGGAAATTGCCCTTGCTGATACTCGGTAGCTGAACCACGGCATCGCTCTCACGGCCGACGGCAAGACCTTGTTCGCCTCATCTTCGACGGATGTCTACGCGTACAGGTATGATGCCAAGACGGGCGTTGCAGGGCCGGCTCGCAACGTTATTACGGGCATGAACCAGACCGGACACGTCTCGCGCACGCTCTACATACCGCCGGCGAATCCGGATCTGCTGCTCGTGTCGCGCGGCTCCAACGACAATGTGGACGCGGACACTGCGGACATTGAGTCAGGCCGCAGCCAGCTGCGCGTCTTTAGAATTGCGGACCTCGTAGGCGGCAAACAGGCCGTCACTTACACGGACGGCGACGTGCTGGGCTGGGGGCCTGCGTAACAGCGTGGGCATGGGCCAGGACCCTACGACAGGAAATATTGTACGTGGCCGGTGACGCTGCTACTTCAGGCTCTTCTAGGAATACAACTGACATGAAAGTCCAGTGGTCGGTGGAGAATTCGATAGACAACTTGCACCGCTTCGGCGCCGATATTCATAACAGCAATCCTGGCGAGGAGATGAACTTTCACGGGCGACCCAACGACACAGAGGGGTACCACTATGGCCGCAATTTTGGCTACCCAGGCTGCCTGTCCATGTTTGACACGACGAACGTGGAGAAATATGCCGACGGTACCCGTGAGACAGTCATAGGAGGGCAGTTTAAAGGGGATTTCCTTCCGCAGTACTCGGACCTGTGGTGTCGACGACACGCCACGCCGCCGCGCATTACATTTGGCTCGCACCTAGCGCCGCTGGATATCCAATTTCTCCACGATGGGAGCGCGGCGCTTATTTCATTTCACGGAAGCTGGCAAGTCAAAATTGGAGCCCCTCTCGACGCTGGGCTTTGGCTGACTCTCATGACTAGGAACCGCCAACCGCCTAACGGCTATCGTCTCAGCCGCGTCTCGTTTGCTAATGGCAACCCAAGGAAGCGATCGCACGCGGGGGATGCAGAGGAGATGCTCATGTGGAACGCGTATAACTCGGACTGCCGCAATCACTGCTTCCGCCCCGTGGGCCTGCTGCTGGACAAGCAGGGTCGGTTGTTCATGACGAGCGACGCCACGGGCGAGCTGTTCCTCGTGACGGGTACGCAGAACAAGGGCGTCCCGTCGAATCCGTAGATGGTGCGGTAGAATCAAGATGCAGTGTTGTTCATGACTTGTTTTGTGGCTGTTTTGAATTGAAACGCTACTATGTACTTTGGTAATTGCAACTATACAATGAAGCCCAGGCGCTCATGCTCGTGTGGCCTCGCTCATTTCCTCATTTCCTCGTTTCCTCGTTTCTTAAAATTTATCCTGATCGGCATTCTGCATCAACATATTCGAGTCGGGCTTGTACTTTTTGGAGAGTAGGTTGACGTTGTACTCGACATCGAGGATGGCGCCGCCGGGCTCATTCGTGACGGGGGTAAAGTGCAGCAGCAAGTCGTCCTTGACGGCGCAGGCCGTGTCCGTCTCGAGGTAGGGGTCATCGTCCGGGTAGAGCTGGGCGGTGACACCAATATAGTCGTCGTGGGTAACCATGATGTGAATATGGGCAGGACGGTAGGGGTGGCGGCCCATGATACGGAGCAGCTCAGCCGAGGGCCCCGACGTGTCAATGGCGTACTCGGTGGGCTTGAGGCAGTAAAAGGAGAAGCGGCCGTCGGGGCCGGTGCGGAACTTGCCGCGGAGGTTGTGGCGGGACTGGTTCTCCGGGTCGTGGGCGTCGTACTTGCCGTTGGTGCTGGCCTGCCACATGTCAAAGACGGCATTGGGGATGCCGAGGCCGGTCTCGACATCACGGACGACGCCGTGGAAATACGTCAGCTGGCCGTCGGAGGGCATATCCTGGACGACGCTGGCGCCGAGGGCGCGGAAGGGCGTCTCGGGAGACCAAAAGGGGCCGAGGATGGACGACGACGTCGGCACCTTGCCGTCGGCGGCCTCGACCTTGTGGTTGATTTCGTCGACGAGGCTGAGAAGGCGTTGTGTTAGCGGGGCGAGATGGGCAAAGGGACAGAACCCTGGGGGGCGGGAACGGGCTTACGATTCGATGCCGAGAATGTCGCAGAGACGCCAGGTCTCGTTGCGGTTCTTCTTGTAGGCCTGGCCGAGCGAGTTGACGTAGTTGACGCCAATGATCCATTCGTCCTGCTTGAGCTCGACCTCGCGGCAAAAGTCGTGCATGTGGCGGATGAGCGAGGTGAGGATCTCGCGGTGTCGGGGCAGCGTCTCGGGGCTCATGAGGTTGATGACGTGCTGGGTGAAGTTGGGGTCAAACTTGGACTTTTGCTGTTGATGGGTGCCATTGGAGCCGTTTGTGCCATTTGTGGCGTGGGCGCCGTTTGACGTCATTGTGTGTGTGTGTGTGTGATTTCTTTTTGTGTTGTTGGTATGTGTGTTTTAACAAAAAAAAAGGGAACGAGGATGAGAAGAGGAATGAAAAAGGGCGCGGGGTTATCTGGCTGGTAGATGGTTTCGATGGTCAAAAGTCGGGGACCAGTGGCGACACTGGTAATTATTATACCTTGGGCAACTACGAATTAGTTAGACAGGTCTGGAAAAAGGCATTGCCGGTGCAGAAGCCGGGGTGGAAGCCGGGGAGAGTGGAGATGGGCGGGGCCGTGGATCGCGGCGAGCGGGAGCGGCAATTCGACACGGTTCAATTGGTACTGTGCTGCTCTAGGGCTGTTTGGTGCGCGGGCGGCGGCGCTAGGACAAACACCGCCGGATAATGTCATGCAGGTCGTCCAGGTCGTCCATGTGGTGGCGCGATTCCTCTGGGGAGAGGTTGCGGGGATGAGAGGTGCCGCGACAGTAGCCGGGGTTGCACGGCTTACACCTGGAGGCTTTTCCGTGCATTCCGTGTTGGAGGTCGTGTCAGTGGCCACCTACAGTACCTAGTTACTTACCTAGGTACCTACCTAGGTAGGTATGTAATCCACACGCCACGTTGCAACCTCCGACATGGCTAGATATTTTATTTGTCCGATAAGAGGGGTTGAGGGGTAGGGGGCCACGCGCAACGACATACGAATAATGCTTAGAGTAATACTGGTCATGTTACCGCCACGTGAGGGCGTCCCAGGCAGAGATTGATTCGACGAATAAAATGACGGATAATTGAATGAGAAATCCGGCTTCCGCTAGCGAATGGCTACATTGAACAATGTAAGCCAGAAGGGCCATTAGTATGCGCCTTTCCGTTTTCTACCCACGTGACTGTTGCTCACGTCTTGCATTTTTTTTCATCATTTTTCCTTCTTTTTCCATCCATGATCCCATATTCAATCCATCATGCTCGATTCCCAAAACCCCTCGCTGACTTTTTCGCACGTGCTGGCTGGGAAGAGGCAGAAAAAGTAGGTGGCTGGGCCGACGAAACTTGGAACGCCCAGTGCCGAGTCTCAGAGGGGGGGGGGGAGACCGACCATGCACGGCCTGGTTCCTGGTGACGGTGGTGACACGGACGCTCGCCGATTCTTGTTCTTTGCATCGAATAGGCAGAATAATTGAGAGATTCAATCTGTCGCTCTCTTCCTTCAAGCTGCCACTCTCTTTCTTTATCCCGGTCGGCGCACTTGTTATCGCGTCACCCGTTGTAACTGCCTCACACACTCCCCCCCCACCTACCGCCCACTCGGCATGACGACACCTTGATTGCGCTTCTTTGCGCCGACCACGAATTCCGCTCTCCAACCGCTGCCAACTGTGCGAAAACGAAATACATTTCCTGCCATCGATTGTCCCCGTGCCATTGAACAGACGCGCATAGACTGCCTCGGACGCGCGCAATCGGACAACTGCCTCGGACGCGCGCAAACGGACACCCAGTGCGAGGATTTTCGAAAACACCGTCGGCCTTGTATTACTATCGCGATTGGGGTCCATCCGAGCGCGGAACGACGGGAAAAAAAAAACCACGTCGCATTCTCACACATTGAGCTTGCTCCTGGTACCAAAGAGCCGAATTGTCGCCGCTATGCCTGCGCTACCCCCACGGGGCGCGGCGGCATCGCAACCGACGGTGACACTACCTCTCCCGGCATCACCACCCGCCGCCTCTCCCCTCGGTCCCCGCGCGCCGCAGCAGAGCACCACCACCCCCGGCTTCCAGGCCATCCCCTCGACTTACCGCGAGCAGGACTCGTCCCTTGCGCCCGGCGCCGTTGCCGGCATCGTCCTCGGCTCCGTCGGCGCCTTTCTCCTGCTCCTTGCCCTCCTGTACTCGTGCACAGGCTGGACGCCCGTCTTCCTGCCGTGGTCCCCGACCACCGCCAGCACCACCACCCGCCGGCGCACCGTCATCGTCGAGGACGAGCCACCACACCGCCACAAGCACCGCCGGCACAAACACCGCCGTCGCCGCAGCAGCCGCAGCCGCACCACCGAAACCGAAATGTTCGAGGTCCACCGCACCGCCTCCCGCGCCCGCGCCCCCGTCGGCGGTCGTACCGTGCACATCCCCGCGCCCCCGCCGCCCATGATGCCCAGCGTGCGCGTGTCCCAGTCGACGACGCGACACGGACCGCCGCGCGTCGTCCGCGATGACGCCACCGAAACGGACCTGACCGAGGACGAGATTGTCGTCATGGAGGAGCACTCCCCGCCTAGGCACCAGTCGTCGGGTAGGAGGAGCCACGACTCGCGCCGCGATAGTAGGCGATATAGCCGCGGTCCTTGACCTTGATGGTGGCACTCTCTGACATGTTGAACCGTCTTGTTCTTATTTTGCCTTTGCACGTTGCGTCGGCCCCTGAAACTTCTTAATTTGTTTGTTGGAAATCCATGTACGTTCCACCATGTGTTTATACGAGTATGGCTGAAAACTGGGCCATGTATGCATTATACATGGAAATTCTTGTTTCTCATGAGTTATCACCGTTTAATTATTACTGTCTATATATACCTTGACTCGTGTAGCAATAGAAAAAGTCAGCTTTGCTTCTTGTTCCTCTGGCACGTTTAGCTTTCACACAGGCATAGGCTCGGCAAGGACGGAAAAAAGAAATAGAATGCCATAAGTGGTATCAAACGCCCGGTAACGCCACATAACAGTATGCCATGCAAGATGCTCTCTCAACCCCGACTGAACCCGCAAGCCCAGCTCGTGGTGCTGCCCGACTCTCCAACAGCTTCTCTTTCAGCTTTGCTCGCTGGTCCTCGGCGCAAATTTTTTTTTTTTCGAATTCCACAACAGACCCCCAAAGGCACTACCTATGCCCCATGAGCATGTTGGCATCCCACAGCAGCACCCTCTCGTCCCAGCCGACCGAGGCCACCCAGCCGCCGACGCCAAAGAGGCACCAGTCGACGCCGGTGACAAATTCTGTGTGTCGGTTCATGATGCCCATCTGGCGGCCGACGCGCGCGCCAGCGGCCGGACCGTGCGCCGCGGAGCCGCCGCCGTCGTTCCACAGGCGCACCGTCATGTCGTAGCTGGCGCTGATGAGGACGTCGCTGGCGTGCGGGCTCCACGCGACCTTGCGGACGGCGTACTCGTGGCCCTGCATGAGCGCCAGGGGCCCGCCGTTGGGGCTGCGAATGTCAAACGTGCGAATGACGCGGTCGACGCCGGCCGTCGCGACGACGGTGTCGTTGTACTTGTTCCAGTCGTGCGTGAGGAGCTCCGATGGCGTCGCGCCGCTGCCCACGCCCACGCCGCCCATGCCCGGCGGCGGCGCGTGCACGGGGATCGACGCCACGAGGTGGTACTTGGCCGACGACGGCGTCCGCAGGTCAAACAGCCGCAGGTGCGAGTCGGACGAGACGGCGGATATCAGCGCCGGGTTGGACGGGCAGAACGAGGTGCTGTACGTGCAGTTGCCGATCGGCAGCGTCTTGATGGAAAAGTTTCGCGTGGGCGACCACTGTTCCGGGGGGGGAAAGAACTGTCAGCGTGATCAGGGTCGGAAGGGAGGGTCCGGCAAGGCAGCGGGCTGGTTACAATTTTGACTGTGCCGTCCCAAGAACTAGAGACAAAGGTGTCTTTGGTGACTGGATTCCAACAGACGGAAAACGTCTCGCGCTTGTGTTCGTGAAAGTTCATGACGGGGAATTCGTCGACGCCGAGGTCATAGAGCTTGAGAGAGCCATCGCCGCACGCGACAATGAGCTGATTCTCGTTGATTTCGGACCAGGCGAGATCGTAAAGAGAGTCGTTTGTGTCAAAGCTGCCAGCGACGTCGTGTTAGCAGAGCCAATGCGCTGCTGCGCCAACGGAGCGCGACAGCATGGAGGAAGGGGGGAAAGGCCCAAACACATACGACTTTTCTACCTGGACGCCCTGCGCCGTGAGCGCGAGCGAATAGAGGCGCCCGTTGCCGACGATGCCAAAGTTGGCGGCCGAGGCGACGGCGATGCGCGAGTCGTAGTAGGGCGAGTACTTGACCGCGTAGGGGTTGAACCCTGGGGTGCGAAACTCGAGCATGGCGGCCATGCTGGGCGGCGGGCGGGAATTGAGGGGGATCGCAAGCGACGGAGGCCGGGGGGGGGATCGGCCGGGGTTAGCGGTGCAGTCGACGGCACGAGGCGCGGGGTGTGTAAGGGGGTGTGCGTCCTGGCCAAATCGCTTCTTCGGGTTTACGAATTGAGGTACCGGGGGACGATTTGAGCTGTTGGTCTCGGGACAGACACTCTGTGAGTGAGGGAGAAGTCATGCATGCGCGCAGACGACGAGGTGCCTCGGTTACAGGGACCCGCATAAGCTTCTCCAGAAACGTCACAGGCAAATAGCGCTGTAAGCTGGTCGCTCTAATTGGGTACAGGGTGCTGTACCGCTAAAACAATCGAAATAGTTTTTGACACTGAATGAAAGCACGAGACTGGCATCTTGAATAGACTATTTCTATCGGATTTCTAATAGTGACGTATGTGTACGTACTTACAATAACGGAGAGCTGTCTGTCTCAGCTGGCATCCAGGTCTAGTGATGCCGCATCGGAGGACACTACTCGACAAGGTGATTCAATCAAGTTCGCATAACTAGTAGAGGAATCATTTATAGAGGTGCAACTGTATCAAAGGGCCCTCAACAAGCCTTGACCATTCTCACTCCCGATCACTAAAACCCCCCCCGCATCACCTGACTTCGCGTGCGAACCGTGCGCCAGAGCCGTGTACTGTATGGCGTTCGCCCCTCAGTACATACTAATTAATAACGTGTTGCTTTGTAACTCGGCCAGTTCACCGCCCGAGTTACCTCTCTGGCCATGCCGTGATTTTTTCAAATTCCCGCCGGTGCATCAAACAAAGCCCGATTCACGCGGGATGACACCTAAAAGATGAAGGCCTTCCTCGCTGGCGCTCGCAAACGCAAGTCGACCGACGAGCCGCCCCGCCAAGCCGCCGACGAGAATGACGACGAGCCGACCGAGGTCAAGCTCGCGATGCTCTCGTCGCTGCACCCCCAGGTTGAGCAGGACACCTTGATCGACGTGCTGCTCGCCCATGACGGCTCCGTCCGGGAAGCCTCGGCTGCACTGCGCCATGTGCGCCCGGAGCCGACCAAGTCCGGTGTCATTGGCCACCAGCAGTCGCTCCGGCAGTATGCGCGCCCGGCCGACCCGTCGTCATGCCCGCCTACGACAAAGAAGCTCAAGTCGAAAAAGGGCAGCACCCTGCACCTGTTTGATCCCGCCGATGTGGCCGAGCATACGCCTTGCACCATTGTCCATAATTTTCTGCCGCCCGACGTCGCCAACGACCTGCTCAAGGAGCTGCTGGCCGAATCGGAGACCTTTGAGCGCATCACCTTTAAGCTGTTTGACAATGTTGTCTCGAGCCCGCATACCTCGAGCTTCTACGTGGATAGCTACGAAAAGTTAATGTCGCAAAAGTCAGAGTACTACTACAATGGTGCGCAGCTTACTGTATGCCAGATGCGCCCGCAATCGTCTTCTTTCTCTAACTGAGACGTTATTCTAGGATGTTCGGCGCATCACGCCACAACTATCGAGAGTGAAGCCAATCGTTCAAGACACGGTAAATAAGGAAATACAGCATCGTATCAAAACGCGATATCCCGGGGGCAGGAAGCTCAAGTACCAGTCTCCCCACCCCTGGGTCCCCAACTCGGCGTTTGTCAACTGCTACAATGGCGCCCAGGAGAGCGTCGGATACCACAGCGACCAGCTCACCTACCTCGGGCCGCGCGCCGTCATCGGGTCCATCTCGCTCGGGGTCGCGCGCGAGTTCCGGGTGCGTCGCGTGCTCCCGAAAGACGCCGAGACGAGGACCGCGCAGGACGCCGACGCCGAGGGCCAGATCTCCATCCACCTGCCTCACAACTCCCTGCTGGTCATGCACGCGGAGATGCAGGAGGAGTGGAAGCACTGCATCGCGCCGGCGCTGTCGATTGACCCGCACCCGACAGCGGGCAACAGGCGCATCAACATTACCTACCGCGACTACCGCGCCCGGATGCACCCATCGGAGACGCCCCGGTGCGCGTGCAAGATCCCCTGCATCCTGCGTGTTGTGCAGCGCAAGCGGGAGAATCTTGGAAAATATTTCTGGATGTGCCATGCGGGCAATGTCCCGGAGAAGGAGGGATGTTCGTTTTTTCAGTGGGCAGAGTTTGATGATGATGGGAATCCCATTTTGAACAAGAAGCTGGTGAAACCTCCATAAGTTTAGACTTGGACAAAAAAGTAAAATTGTAGAATATATTTAGTCGGTTACAAGGTCTGTGATGTACGTGCAAACTGCGCGGCTGCCAAACATATAGTCTGGAGCGTCGCTATAGTTGCATGAGACAGCAGCGTGTACTAACATGGCTTATACCTACCTATTAATAAGCTACAACAAGTCGACAGGCTACTAACAGCCCATAGGGCGCTATAAGTAGCTTTAACGTCTGTGACACCGCTATAAACCCTTCTTTTGGCGCTCGCCAAAGTGGGGCGCAACCTGAGAGCCAGTGGAACGACTTGAGGCCCAGCGACAGCACGCTTCCTCTGGTCTTCCTTCATCATCACCACGCATGCCAAATAGCAGTTCGCGGTAAGCTGCAGAAGTCGTCTCCGAAATGTCATCTTCGCCTCCGACAACTGTCCCATCCGTTCTTCCATCCTCTCCGCCATGCGCTCCACCATCCTCTGAACCATCCTCGTCCTCCGACGATTCGAAAGATGATTTGGTCAACATCCAGCCTTCCGAGGTCACGTTTCTCGAGACTCTGAAGACAAAAATAAACCGGAAAAACGGCAACAACCTTGTTATCACCTTTAAGGTTGAAATCCGTAACAAACTTTGCGTCATGAAAGTGGTCAGTAATAAAATATACTATGCGTGGCACCTATTCCCGGCACGCTCACAGCGGGCTAACACCCTACCTACTTATTGATAATAATTTAGTTTAAGGATATCGAATATTGGGACGCCTTTTATACAGAAGCTAGCGCTTATCGACTACTCAAAGAAAAGGGCCTTTGCAAGCGAGGCCTTGTTCCAAAATTCTATGGAACTATTGAGTATATAGATACAGATCTCTGGCCGGAGTTGTACCAGTTTGCAAATCATAAATTTCCACCTAGCGCTATTCTGATCGAGTATATACCAAACGCTAGAAAGATCGACCTCAGCAACTTTTCGCAAGACAATATCGACAGGCTATCTACAATTCTCGCCGAGATTCACGAGGCTGGCCTTATCCACGGCGACTCATATCCTAGAAATATGATGGTTGTTCAGGGAACGCCCGATAGAGTTTTCTGGCTGGACTTTGATCATTCGCGGCTAAGGGATAAGACAGACGAAGACTCTGAATGCCTGTTCCAATTAGAATTAGAGATAATGACGGGTTTTGCAAAAAAGCACTGGTATGTTTCGACTTTCTAACAGACTGGCTTCGACTAACAACACTTCTGCTCTTAGTCAGAGGATGCCAAAACTGGAAAATTAGAGAAAGCGTTCTACTTTTACTGCTAGTCGATGTATTATCCAAAGTACCTTCACGAGCAAATACATTCATACATAAAATGGTACAACAACACAGATGGCCATTGGCATGCACCCCCTCCTGTTGCGCTTCGTGGTGTAATTAAAAGAGAGCTGCTACCAACCCATCTTACTAGACGGACCAAACACGTGATTATTAAAATGGGTCATTCTCCAGGTACATTGATTTGTGTACAACACGCACCTGAATCAATGTACCTAGAGAATGACGGATAACTAGTACTCCCCAACCAACTCCCAGCACCTACGGACCTCCCCAACCAACTCCCAGCACCTACGGACGTCTGACGACCCAAGATATCTTGGCAGAACGTGGACGATTCATCGCGACCACGACCTGGCGCAGAAATGGCCGAGGAGCTGACTCTTTCCGCCCACCAGGTGGCTCTGCTGGAGGCTCACCTGCCGCCAGCGACCGCCGCGCCTGCGGGCGGCTCCAACATCTGGGTGACGCTGACGTACGCGCAATCGCTCGACTCGTCCCTGTCGCTCGCGCCGGGGGTGCGCACCCGCCTCTCCGGGCCCGAGTCCAAAGCCATGACGCACTACCTGCGCAGCCGCCACGATGCCATCCTCGTCGGCGTCTCGACGCTGCTCGCCGACGATCCCGCGCTCAACTGCCGCATCGCCGGCGCCGGCGCCGGCGCCGCGCGCCCGC